ATATAATTCATTGAAGAATTCTTCACTGTCATGATTGAAATTTTTGCAACACTAGGAATGCGATAGCAAACCAAAATATCAGTGAAATTTTTTTTTTTTTTTTTTCTTATAATAAAGTGAACACGACGAGATTTTGAAATATCCAGTATTATCCCGAGTGTCAAGAATTAAAATAGCTAATGCAAGTGCAAACACGAGTTAACTCGTGACCAGTCAACAATGTGTTAACATGGCACACGGAAGAGTAGACGAGTAACATTAAGGCATTAACACTAGAACTACCATTTTGGTAGAAATAGCTTCGTCTTAACTGTCGATAGTTCTAGTGTTAATGAAAGGTCTAATATATATACTCAAATGTTAAATAAAACGTATGAGTTTCTTAGTTTCTTTATCTTTGTTTTCTCTCTCAGGTTAGGTTTATATATATATGTTCAGTGTTTCATAAAAATTAGCGACATTTGGTCGTCAAATCACGATGAAAGAACGCAATCAGTATTTTTAAATTACACGGGTTAACAGCGGCAAATTTAGCGATAATGATATCGTTGATTTGATTGAAGAAGCCACGTGACCTGGGAGAAGTTCGTTTGTACTCGGCGCGGAGGCACTTACACGATCTAAAGGGGCTCTCACATTCGTCTGCAACTACGTGCAATTGAATTCAAAAGTGAATTCGAGTATGTACTATTCTCTCTAGGGACATTAACCTAAAAATATCTCGAATTCAAATTAGTGAAAACTAACCTCTTTCTTCTGTTTACTATCGCCCTTGGAGCTTCATCTGACCGCTGTATCTCGAGGAAATCCGACGCACGACCGCATATGAAACTGGCTTAAGAATAAGAAAGCGAGACGACGAGAAACGAAGACGAAGAACTGAATGTATCTTTTGCCACGCGTGGTAACAACCTTTAGTTAAGGCGATTAGAGTCAGGCGACTCCGCCAGTCGCGGTTGTTATCGTCGCGCCACGCCAGATTGTTATTTATAGAGAGAAAGTTTAAGCGCGTACTATGCAAGGACAGCGGAAAAGATGCAAAGAAGCCCCAGCGGCGTCGTTAATTCTTTTAATGAAATTTCCAAGACGATCTGGACTACAGTTCATTTCCCTTCGACTCTCTTTCAAATTACAGGCAAAGGCGTTTTCATTAAAAGTACACACGTGTCGCGAGTAGGTATGCTACGTGTTCTTTCAAGATGACAAGTATTACTACCAAGTTGCCATGCTAAAATATATGGATTTCCACTGCTAACGAATCGTTCAGTCTTTTGCGTGTCGATAACAGCGAATAAAGTTCCTGTTGTCGAGGAAGATTGATTGATGAAACCTAACCTAACCTAAACCTAAATTGAGATCAACTTACCATAAATGTAACGCGACCAATCGCCTCCTTTCTCGCCTGTTTCGCGCTCTATCGACTTCCGATTATCTCTCTCTCTCTCTCTTTCTTTCTTTCTTCCGTGCAAGCGTGTTCTTCCACAATTCGAACTCGATCGTTGGTCCCCATCGCTTCTTCCCCTTTGCATTTGTTATTGTTCTCATCTCCGCTCTCTTGTTCCTGGACTTGTGCCCGTCTATTAACTAGACCATAGATAGACACGTAGATTCGCACGACCGCAATTTTGCATGTGTGTCGCATGCGTTTTGCCACCTCGTCCCGCATGATCTACGTCTCGTGATCATTAAACCAAGCAGACTGGAAGAATTCGTACGACTTTCGTACTATCGTTTTTTTTTTTTTTTTTTAATCAGTGACGAGGGATTCACCAGTATGGGGCGTCGTTCGTTAAGTGTTGCCACGAGGCGAACTCGCTCCACGTGCGCACGTTCGCCCTGGTTGCGTCTGCGACTCGAGGTACACTGTCTCGCATGCCGTTGCTCGAGAAACCGTCGCAGGTTGTCGTCAGGATGTCGTACCGTTTGGCAGGTGCTCGTGGCTGCAACACACACGCCAAGTATTTTTTTTTTCCTTTCTTTTTTTTCCCCCCTTTCCATTTACTGCAAATTAGTATACAGTACAAAAGTGAAATGAAATGTATAACACGCCAGTGTTGGAGTGACAAAGATGTGATCCATTCATAAATCTCAAAGATCCATCACAGCATGCAAAGTTACTATTTCTTTTACTATTTTTATATTTACCAATTATTTTATTATAAAAATTTACTGTTTCACTGATATAAAATGTATAATGCTATTTATTGATATAAAATGTATAATGCCAAATATTGAAATAAAATGTACAATACCATTGTTAGATGTGATGTGAATTACAAAGATCCATTCATAAATCTCAGATATC